CAGAATGGCTTTCAACAGAAAGTTGGGGAAAAGTGTTATTATCGAGCACACTCGCGTACACAGGCACGCGCATAGACACTGAAGAGAAGCAAAGTAAAACACAAAGATGGAAGGACACACACTGAACAACAGAGACAAATATCCTCCCTCCAGCCTGGACAAAGCTCTGAGACAAGACATGTTATAAAGACGCTCTTAAAGCCAGAAAGGGAGCACGTGTGTGTGTTTGTTTTAGGATCACTGGCTCCAGTGGTCAGTGCACTGTCCTATATAACTGGTCACGTGGCTTCGATTCCCTGACCACAGCTAATAGTGGGAAGTGTCTCAATCGGTCCTGGGCCTCCCCGAAGGTGGAGATAAATGCGGCCACGGTGTCGTAATAGTGCCCCATGCAAACATCTCTTGCACTGTGCCGGTCTTGATAGGCGCTCACTGACAGCCCCTGCACCAAGCGTTTGTGTCAGCCAGTGGTTCTTCACCTTGACTGCAGACTTGCACCCCTTTGGTTTTCAATTGTGAAAAAAAATGTATGTTAATAAATACATGGGTTTCATGAAACAAGGTTGTAACTTACGTGCCCGTGCTTAGTTTGTGTTTGGATGATTTACCTTAAATAACAATCTGGACATGTCTCGCACCCTCAGAAAGGACATCTCGCACCCCCGGGGGGTGCACCCCAGGCTAAGAACCACAGGCGTAGGCCAAACGAGGGATCTTTGTTCGAGCAAGGCTGGGCAACCAGCCATAAAATCACGCCTCTCTTCGGGAGGGAAACCCTAAAATCTTGCTTTTATTTTTACTCAAATTATGTACATAAACAAATTGAGGCATTGATGTTACCAGTGGTGACTGTTGCTTAAGCGTCGAACCTCAGACGTTCGGATTAAAGGCCCACGGTGTTGACGGAAACGCTTGAGGGACATTTTCCTAATTTCCTTTGCAAATGAAGGCCGCTTGCCAATGCACCCAACGTCCCAACTGCACCTTGGTTACTGAGCAGTGGTGGTGGTGGTGAAGCTGCTTGTTCCACTGGCGCAATAAGCAATACAATATATCCGTAAGAGATGTTTTGTTGGGGTAGATCGTGTAAATATAAATGTGTGTCGTTAAACCCGCCACCACCCGACACAGTCAACTAGTTAAGGTTTGTCACGTCAACAAAAACGTGCCAATTCGTTACTAGTTCAGCACACCGGTTGTGTTGGGAAGTGAACCAACAACATTTACAATTCGATTACCGTGACGTTTCGCTGGTAATCATAACAACAAGCCTCATCTGGCGACAGCCACAGAGTTGTGGAGAAACCCTGCTCTCCTCTTTCGGTCTTAAATAGAGGGGGGTGACTGTGAAGGATTTGACGACACATTCATATTTACGCGACCTAAACAAAAAAAAACCCCTCTATAATGGATAATATTGGTGGCGAAAGCCTCCGTTTGGAATGAACATTAAAATAATTCACAGGCCTCTCGTCAATCCACTGCTGGATGAAGGCCTGGCCACTTTCGTGCTTTCGTGCCGGTTGTGGGGGGTTGTTTTGACCACCAAAACCGCGCCAACAAAACGCACCACGCTGGTCAGGACCGACCGGTGCAGACGTCGCTTGCCACCGACGTTAGCCGTGGCCGGGAGCCGGTGGGGAGGGGGCGTGGTGCATTGTGCGAACCAAAGCGCCACTGCTCCTTGCCCTCCCCTCGCCCCAACTAGTGTATCGTGGGGGGGGTTTCGTTTGTTGTGGTGTTGCCGATGGTTGCCATCCTACCTGTGTCACTCACCGTGTACAGCATCACATACGCGCGTCACCGAGAATCGGGACAGCACTGGCGTCGACACCCGGAACCGGGACGGTGGGGTCTGCATGCTGGGTGAGGCCTTGGCAACAGGCAATGCCTGGATATCTGGTGAGGCCTTGGCAACAGGCAACGCCTGGATGCTGGGTGAGGCCTTGGCAACAGGCGACGCCTGGATCCCGGGTGAGGCCTTGGCAACAGGCGACACCTGGATCCCGGGTGAGGACTTGGCAACAGGCGATGCCTGGATGCTGGGTGAAGCCTTGGCAACAGGCGACGCCTGTATGTCTGGTGAGGCCTTGGCAACAGGCGAGGCCTGGTTGCTGGGTGAAGCCTTGGCAACAGGTGACGCCTGGTTGCTGGGTGAAGCCTTGGCAACAGGTGAGGCCAGTATGTCTGGTGAGGCCTTGACAACAGGTGAGGCCTGGATCCCGGGTGAGACTTTGATAACAGGTGAGGCCTGGTTGCTGGGTGAAGCCTTGGCAACAGGTGAGGCCTGGTTGCCCGGTGAGGCCTTGGCAACAGGCGACGCCTGGATGTCTGGTGAGGCCTGGTTGCCGGACAAGGGCTGGCCACCATCCTCGGTGCTTGCGGAGAGCAGAACAGGCCCTGTCGGCGGCGACGCTGGCAAAACGGAGGCTTGCGCGTTTTCATCGCTCCCCAACCACGTGGCGAAATTGCTGCCGTTTCCACCGTCGTCGTCGTCGTCACCATCAGCAGCGGCCCCCGCGTCATCATCGCTGTCCCCGGCGCCGGCGCGGAGTGTAGGTGATGCGTGCCGCGGCGTGTCCTGCCGCACCAGGCGAGGCCCCGGGGGGAGGTCTTCATCGTCCCACTCGTAGCCGGCGCCGCCGCCGCTGCCACCGCCGACTGTTGGACAAAGGGAGTAGGGTCCCAGTTACGAGCGGCCGGGCACTTCAAAGGGAACTGCCCACAACACTGGCAGCAGCAGTAACAAGAAGCACCACCGGGTCCACTCCTACAGCAGCCGAGTTGTTAACTCCCTCGCCTGGTATGCAGGAGGTGGTGGGTTCGATCCCGACCCTGATGCCTGCTGTATATTTGAAGTTTGCGTGTGGTCACGTGGATTTTTCTCCGGCTCCTCCGGTTTTTTACTCCACTTTAAGTATCAACGTGCGTTTCCAGTATTGAGCTGCTATAAATTTGCACGTGATAAGCCACTTCGGCGAGCTATCACTTGTGGCCAGGTCGCTTCTGAAAAAAAGCGATATAGCTCAGTGGGCCTTACCTGGTGAAATTAGTGCCACACCCGCTACCATAGCAGCACAACATCATGAGCACAACCGTCATCACCCCAAGCACTACCAGCACACGCAACAGCAGTAGCAGCACAGTCACCATCATCACCTCCACCACCAGCCATAACAGCACCACCATTAACAAAGCCAACACCAGCACCAGCACCACATGCAACAGGCGCCGTAGCTGCAACAGCAATGTGACCACCATCATCATTAACACCAGCAGCAGTAGCAGCAGCAGCAGCAACAGCACTACCACCATTAATATGGCCATCACCACAGCAGCATCACCATGGCACCATCACCATTACGGCACCATCACCACCACGGCACTACCACCACGGCACCATCACCGCTGCACCATCACCACCACGGCACTACCACCACGGCACCATCACCGCTGCACCACCACCACCACGGCACCGCTGCCACGGGACCCTTGCCTTCCTCGTGATGGCCCCCTTCATCCCCTTCGGAGGAGCAGGGCGCCCTGGCACCGAGCTGCATCCCCTCGGCGCCGTCATCCTCCGTTAGGCCGCGGTCTCCGAGCTCGCTTGTGGGGCTCTCCTGCCAGACGCATGCACACAAACAAAGACAAGGATTCCCCGTGTAGCCTTAACAGACTGTTGGGACAAGTGCTGTTTGCGAGCACCGATGAAGGTTGGCACGGTACACAAGGGGGTGGGTGGCCAGCACCACGCCCGGCTGCCCTTTTGTCTCCCCAGTGGCGATGTTCTCACACACTGAACGAGGTTCTCATTTGAGGCTGGGGAGATCTTGCGGAGGCCTAGAACCGGCTCAGATAATCATCACTAGTGTTGGCTCGTAGCCCAGCGCGCTAACCGCTAAACCACCGCTCCCCACACGCACGCGCACGCAATCGCGCACGCAATCGCGCACGCACGCCATCATCCCCACAGTAACCCCTAACGCCGTTTGTTAGCGAGCACCTTCTAGAGCCAGGCATAATTTATTCAGAACCTCCACGAGAAATGTACGACTGACTGGGGTGCACTCTGCTCACTCTCTGAGCAGCGCACTGACACTGGCGACCGCGCAGGACTTCAAAGTGTTGTGGAATAGCTGTCGTGTTGTTGCTGGTGACCCTAGCAGTGATCACAGTGTTGCTAGTGACCCTAGCAGTGATCACAGTGTTGCTAGTGACTGTATCAGTGATCACGGTGTTGCCTATGACTCTAGCAGCGATCAGTGTTGCTGGTGAGTCTAGCAGTGACCGCGGCGCTGCTGGTAATTGCAGCGGTGACTACCCACAACGCAGCAGGACCCCCTCCGACAATGAGTCTTGGGACTCGGCGAGCCGCCACACACCTCGTCAAACAGGTAGACGGTGACGTCGTCGAAGAACGACACCATCTTCTTGGAGCGGCCCCCCCTGGCGGCCTCTGATGGGAGGCCGCAGAGGTCGGCGGGTGGTCTCAGCATGCTCCGCAGAGAGCGATCGCTCTCCGACTCAGTCACTACCACGGGCACCGGCTCCGCTCCCCCGGCGTTGGCTCCATCGCCGCAATCGTCGCCATCGCCGCCGTCGCCCCCGCGGCGATCGCCGCATCCGCCGTCGTCGTCGTCGTCACCATCGTCGTCGCTGTCCGAGCTGTTGCCCTGCACGCTGTACACCACCATGTCCTCCTCCGAGTCCTCGCTGTGCACGTCATCCACCTCTTCTTCCTCTTCGTCGCCGCGCCGTGCCGCCACCGGTTCGTTGGCGACGGCGGCCGGCGCCGTGGGTTCCGGCGGCGGCGGCTGCTCGGCGATTCCGTCCGGTACCTCTGCTCGGACGTCTCTCTCATCGCTCGCGAGCACCTCGTCCCCCTCCTCTGCCCGCCGCTCATCGGCGTCGGCGGCACCAGCGGCCGAGCGACGCCACGGCCCTGCCGCCACCGTCCAGGCCGCGCCGTCCGTCCGCGCGTCCCACCCGTCCATCACTCGTGCGTCCGGCACCGCGCTGTCGTTGGCACCGTCATCTTCGTCCTCCTCCTCCTCCTCGTTGGCGTCAATGTCGTTGTAATCGCCGCAAAGCACGATGTGACCGCGCGCCAGCGGGGGCCTCGCGGACGCCGGCTCGCTACGCGAGCCTCCGGCCCGGTCCGATCCCTCGCTCAGGGGACGGCCGATGCTCGCGGCACCGCGCCCCTCCACCTCCACCGACACAATCGATTTGGCAGAAAATCTGCGCAGCCGCCGACACCGCCCGGCCCAGAACGGCGTCGTCTCCACCCATCCGCTGGCCTTGCGCCATCGTTCCCACCGGCGCTTTGTCTCCCAAACCGGCGTCCACGTCGCCGTCCGAGAAGTACGCCGAGTCCCTATTTGGCGGTTCCAGCGCCAGCGGCGACGCCATCGCATCCCCGGCGCCGCCCTCCATCTCGTCGCCCTCGTCCACCTCGTCGGCGTCGGTCGTCACCGTGACCTCCACGGCGAGGGCGCCGGCGGTGGGAGAGCCGGCGGCGCCATTGGCGCCGTCCGCGCCGTCGTCCTTTCCCGCGTGGCAGCCGCGCAGCTTGGCCGGCTCGAGCCCGCTGGGCGCCGGCGACTCCACGTTCTCCGTGTCGTAACCGCTGTCGCCGGCGCCGGCCTGCTGGAGAGACAGGTGCGACAGGGGGCTGTCGAAGTCGGCGCCGGAGTCCGGAGGGGGGCTCGACGTGTCTGACAGCGCCGCCTTCACCTCCTGCGCTGCCATATCCGCGGCATCTGGGGCCGCCGCCACCGCCGCCGGCGCCCCGCGCCGCGAGTCCCCTCCGTCCATCGCCCGCGCCCCGTAGAACGGGTCAGCCTGCGCTTCCGGCTGCTTCTTCGGCGCCGTCGCCGCCAACGTCGCCGACGCCGTCGTGACCGGCGCCGCGTCCTGGGCGAACGCCGGTTTCTCCGGCTCGACGCGTCTCACGGCGCTGGCGATGTTGCCGGCGCCGCCGCCGCACTGCCTCGCTTCGTCAGCTTTTTCCCCGACGGCGAGGCCCGCGCCGGCCGTGATGGCGACGTACTTCTCCTCCCCGTAGCAGCCGGAGCGCTCCTCTATGCCCAGCGAGCCCCGTCGTGGCGGGTACTTGGCGGCGCAGGCGTCCAGGGCGAGCTCCTCGCGCTCACCATGTCGGTAGCGGTCGAGCAGGACGTGCTGCTGCTGCTGCTGCTGCTGGTGCACGCCCTCGCAGTATCCTCGCACCGGCAAGTGCCGTTCGTCGACGGACGTGCAGCCGCACGCCTCCAGGTGGTACCCGCCGCCGCCGCCGCCCCCGCAGCTGCCACGCGCATAAGAGCTCTTCTCGCACGGCCGGGAGATGTCGCCCCAGCCGCCGCCTCCACCGCCGCTGCCGGCGACGCGCGGCATCATGACGCCAACCCCGGCATCACAGCAGGCGGCCGGGTGGCAGCCGCTCGCCAGCGCGCAGCACCGCTGCTCGCGCAGGAGACCGCCGGTGCCGTCCGCCGCCGGCTGCGCGAATCCCTTCCCGCAGCGGTAGCTGCACTGCGGGCAGCCGGCGCCGTGCGAGGGCACCATGGCGTACGTGGCCGGCACCGGCACGGGCCCCGGAATACCTCCGCCGCAGCAGCTGACGGGCAGCACTCCGCCCCCGCCCATCACGCCGGATCCGGTGCCGCCGCCGCCGCAGCGGGAGTAGCAGCCGGCGACCTTGCAGGCGACGGGGACGCCGAACGGGCCCGGCGCGCCGGCGTAGAAGTCGCGCGGCTCCGGCTCGTAGGCCCGCACGGGGCCATCGTACAGCAGCAGGCCGCACTCGCCCGGCGAGTAGCAGGCCTCCGCCTGCCCGCCGCCGCCGTCGCCGTAGCCGCCCGCGCCACCGCCGAGCTTGTCCGCGTAGCGCATCGGAGCCGCCGCCCCGGTGGCCACCTCCGGCTCCCCGCACGTCCCCGCGCGACGGCCGGCGCCACCGCCGAGAATCAGCAGCCCGGGGCCTCCGGCGTCGCCCAGATCGACCACGTCGCCGCCGCCGGTGCCGCTGCCGGTCCCGCCGGCGCCGTAGCAGAAGGAGAACGCAGCGTGACCGGCGAAGGGCCCCATGCTGGCGCGGTCCGTGAGCAGCAGCCCGAAGTCGGACGAGTCGTGCGCGCGGCGCCGGGCCGCTCCGGGCCGCTCCTGCTGCGAGTACGAGCGCCGCATGCCGGCGCCGCCCGCCTTCGCCTGCAGCGGCAGCATCGGCGGAGGCGGCGGAGGCGGCGGCGGCGGGACGGAGGGGGCGGAGCGGCCGTCGCCCAACTCGGGGAGGCTCGCCGGCGGATTCCAGGCGCCGGCGGGAGGGAGGCGCCCGCAGCAGCCGGCGTCGAAGGAGCGGCTGGCGGCCGACGCCGAGAAGGCGTGCGTGAGGCGGCCCGGCCCCGCGAACGGCGCCACCACGCTCGACGCCGCGGCCGGCGTCGGGGGCTGCGGCGGCGGCGCCGCCTGCTGCTGCAGCGACATCCGTGGGCGGCGGTAGCCAGCGCGGAGGTCGTGCGCCGTCGTGTAGCACGCCGCCCGCTCGCTACCCTCCCCGCCCAGCAGGTGCGCCGTTTCCGCCTCCCCGTCGTCGTCGTCCTCCTCCTCGTCGTCGTCCTCGTCCGAGCTGTCCGCGAAGACGCGGTCGTAGCGGCTGTCCAGCTGCTGCTGCTGCTGCTGCCGCTGGTGGTGATGCCGGCGCTCATCGACGCCGTCGTCATCGCCGCCGTCCTCCTCCTCCTCGTCGTTCTCGCGCTCGTCCCCGCGCTGCTCGCCGGCCCCGCCGCACACGCGAATCAGCGGCTCCATGGCGAGGGAGGCGGCGGGGCTGCCCAGGCTGTTGCCGTGGCGACTGAGGAACTCAGTGCGCATCTCCTCGATGCCGGCGCTCTGCAGGATGCTGAAGCGATTGCGCAGCAGCGAGTCGCACTCGGGGTCGCCCCCGTGCTCCGACGGCCCCCCGGCCGCGCCGCTGCCGCCGCTGCTGCCACTGCTGCCGCTGCTTCCGCTGCCGCTGCTGCTGCTATCGTCGTCGTCCCGTCGGCCGCAGCAGCCGCCGGAGCCGTCGCCGGCGCCGTCCAGGTCGTTGTCGGCGCCGTCGAGGTCGACGGAGCAGCGGCCGTCGTCGTCATCGTCGCGGCCGTCGTCGCCGCCGCCCGCGCCGACACCGCCTTCGTCGTCGTCGTCATCGTCGTCCCGGCCGGCGCCGCCGGCGCGTCCCTCCAGCCGCACGAAGTAGTCGCCGCACACGGAGGGGCTCCCCGCCGCCAGCACCGGCAGCTTGCTCGACGGCGGTGCCAGCCCCCGGGGGTCCGGCGCGAACGGAGCCGCGTCCACGTCGCTGTCCGCCTCGCCCGAGTAGAAGCGCAGGCGGGAGAAGTCTCCGCGGGTGCCGCCGCTGGCGCGCCGCGGCCGTCCCCCCGCCGCGTCGTCCGCCCGGGCCGCGTCGGCGCCGTCGTCGTCGCCGACGTCGCCGTCGCCGCTTCCTCCCTCGCAACCGCCGGCGCGGCCGTAGTAGCAGGGCCGGTCCCACGAGTACTCGAAGCTCAGGCCCTGGCTGGTCTCGGTGACGGTGAGGATGTCGTCCAGTTCCTCCTGCAGGCCCTCGCTGGAGAAGCGGCGCAGCTGTGGGTAGGCGGGCGCCGGCGCCGACTGCTGCTGCTGCTGCTGGTGGTGGTGGGCGAGCGGCAGGCACGGCTTGAGCGCGTTCCACTGGCGCTCGAAGCTGGCGTCGTCACTGGAGCAGAGGCGCCGGTTGTAGAGGTAGGTGAGGAGGAGGTGCACCTCCTCCACGGACGGGCGCTGCTCACACGGCAGCCAGCACAGCTGCAGCACCTCGTACCTGGCGGCGCCGGCGGCGGCAGCAGAAACAGCAGCAGCAGCAGAAACAGCATTAGGAGCAGCAGCAGTAACAGCAGCAGCCGTAAGAGCAGCGGTAAAAGCAGCAGCGGCAGCAACTGCAGCAGTAGCAGCAGCAGTGACAGTAGCAGCAGCAGTAGCAGCAGCAACAACAACAGCAGCAGTGAGAGGAGCAACAGTAACAGCAGCAATGGTAGCAACAGCAGAAACAGTGGCAACAGAAATAGCAGCAGCAGTAACAGCAGTAGTAGTAGCAACAGCAACAGCTGCATTACAATCATCGATATGCGTGTAAGGTGGAAATAAGCACGCCAAGTCCTTGCTTAACGCGTTTTCGCTATAACGCGGTTCTTCTATTTCACCACACTTTTCGCACCGTTACAGCTCGGAACGCGCACCGCCATAATAATCGTCGTCATAGCTATCGCCATCATCACCAACATCATCATCTTTGTTATGGTCATCATCATAGTCATCATCGTCATCATCATCATCTTTGTTATGGTCATCATCCAAGTCATCATCGTCATCATCACTGTCATCCCCATCATCATCATCTTTGTTAAGGTCATCATCATAGTCCTCATCATCTTTGTTATGGTCACGATCATAGTCATCATCGTCATCATCATTGTCATCACCATCATCGTCATCATCATTTCCGTTGTTATGGTCGTCATCATCATCATCATTGTCGTCATCATCATCTTTGTTATGGTCATGATCATAGTCATCATTGTCATCATCATCATCTTTATGGTCATCATCATAGTCATCATCGTCATCATCATTGTCATCCCCATCATCATCATCTTTGTTAAGGTCATCATCATAGTCATCATCATCATCTTTGTTATGGTCATCATCATCGTCATCATCATTTCCATTGTTATGGTCATCATCATAGTCATCATCATCATCTTTGTTATGGTCATGATCAGTCATAATTGTCATCACCATCATCGTCATCATCATTTCGTTGTTATGGTCGTCATCGTCATCATCATCATCTTTGTTATGGTCTTGATCAGTCATCATCGTCATCATCATTGTCATCACCATCATCGTCATCATCATTTCCGTTGTTATGGTCGTCATCGTCATCATCATCATCTTTGTTATGGTCATCATCAGTCATCATCATTGTCATCACCATCATCGTCATCATCATTTCCGTTGTTATGGTCGTCATCGTCATCATCTTTGTTATGGTCATCATCATAGTCATCATCGTCATCATCATCATCTTTGTTATGGTCATCATCATAGTCATCATCGTCATCATCATTGTCATCATCATCATTGTCATCACCATCATCATCATCAGTCATCATCATCATCGTCATCATCATTTCCGTTGTTATGGTCGTCATCGTCATCATCATCATCATCTTTGTTATGGTCATCATCATAGTCATCATCGTCATCATCATTGCCATCCTCATCATTGTCATCACCATCATCGTCATCATCAGTCATCGTCATCATCGTCATCATCATTTCCGTTGTTATGGTCGTCATCGTCGTCATCATCATCGTGGCAGCCCGCACCAGCGGTCCGAGTGCACCATCTGCAGGCGAGGCTTGGCGAGGCGCACTTGCTGCTCCTTCACCACATACGAGAGCACCTCCTTGTCCGTCAGGTGCTTGTACGGCTGAGACCCCAGCTCCAGCAGCTCCCACAGCGTCACGCCGAGCGACCTGACAACACGAGTTCGCGAGGAGGGGGGGGGGGGTGGGGGGGGACGTCGTTAACAAGATACAGGATCGGCGACGTTTCTGGGAGGATATCTCAACGCCTTGAGCTCATTGGCCGGTTCCTTGGCGAGCGATTGAGATATTTGTGGCGAGCGCGGGAGCGAGAGACGCTCCGGGGGCGCAGGGCGGACGACGCTCGCGCGAGGAGGGATGCGCCGTTCTGGAGATTCCAGCGGCCATCACAAACGAGACGGACAGCACAACCGGACGACGTAAAGGAGACAGGACACACAGCAGAGTTGGACAATACAAACGAGACAATACAAACGACGGGACGACTCTGGCGCTCGCTCACTCGCTCACCACACGTTGCTCTGCTTGGATTGGTCGACCACGAGGAGGTTTCCGTGCACGTCGTCCACGAGCTCGGGCGCGATCCACCGCAGCGGCACGCTCTGCCGGTCCGACGTCACCAGGTAGTCGTCCTGCGACACAAAGGCAAAGGTCCCCCCACCACGTGTAGCCCTTGACACAGACTGGTCGGGGCAAGTGCCGCTCGGAGCAGCGCCCGTGTAGGCCACGTCGCTCCGTCATGCGGCACACACGGGGGGGTGATGTGGCCGGCGCCACGCCCCGGCCGACTTTGTCGACGTTTACACACCGCGCCAGGTACTCATTTGAGGCTGAGTCGACCTAGGAGAGGCCCAGGACTGGTTCAGATAATTGTCACTGGTATTGGTGGCCGTGAACGGGAATTGAACTCTGGTCGCCGGGTTCGCAGCGCAGCGCGCTGACCGCTGCACTACCACTTACACACGAGCGAGACACGCACACACGTGTTCACATGCACACGCGCGCACACACACAGACGCGTGTACACACGCACACATGTGTACGCATGCACAGGCATGCACGAGCAATGCATTTACACACGCATTGGCATGCACAAGTACATGTGTACACACGTGGGTGTAGGAATGGCTGTAGGATTGGTAGTAGGGATGGGTGTAGGGTTAGCTGTAAGTATGGCTGTAGGGGTAGCTGTAGGGTTGGCTGTAGGGGTAGCTGTAGGGTTGGCTGTAGGGTTGGCTGTCGGGATGGGTGTAGGGTTGGGTGTAGGGTTGGCTGTAGAGATGGGTGTAGGGGTAGCTGTAGGGTTGGCTGTAGGGATGGGTGTAGGGTTGGGTGTAGGGTTGGCTGTAGGGATGGGTGTAGGGGTAGCTGTAGGGTTGGCTGTAGGGATGGGTGTAGGGTTGTTTGGGCGGTTGGCTGTAGGGATGGCTGTAGGGATGGGTGTAGAGTTGGCTGTAGGGATGTCTGTAGGGATATAACTGGCTGTAGGGTTGTTTGCAGCGATTGTTGTAGATATGGCTGCAGGGATATCTGTATGGTTGACTGTCAGGATGGGTGTAGGGATGGCTGTAGGGGTAGCTGTAGGCATGGGTGGAGGTATGGCTGTAGGGATGGGTGTAAGGTTGACTGTAGGGATGGCTTTAGAGAAGGCTGTAGATTTGGCTGTAAGGGTGGGTATCGGGTTGGCTGTAGGCATGTATTTATGTTGAACTTATTTAGCACCGTACATCATGAACCGTGCAAATTGGAGGTATGGCTGCAGGAGTAGCTATAAGGATGACTTGGGGTTGGCTGTAGGGTTGGCTGTAGGGTTGGCTGTAGGGATGAGTGTCTCACCTTGTACTTGGTGGCGGATGTGCCATAGTCTCCGATCTTCACCGTGAGGTCAGAGGTCAAGAGACAGCTCCTCAGGGCAAGGTCACTGGGAAACCGACGGGGGTGATGGGATCAAGGTGAAGAGGTGAGCGAGGCGAACAGAGGAGTGACGTGGAGCGGTAAAGAGGTGAGTTGAAGGGAGCGAGATGATGAGGTGAAGATGGGAGTGAAGCGAAGTGGGGGACAGGTGGGGGGGGGGGGGGGGCGAAGAGGCGAGTGCGGTGAAGAAATGAGTGAATAAAACGAGTGTGTTGGTGACCGAGGTGAGGTGAGGTGGAGAAGTGAGTGAAAGCGCACGCACGCGGGGCGAATGAGCACGTGACAGCGACACTAATCGCACGGCAATTAAACTAATTGAGGGTTAAACGTGCGGCTAAATATAGCGCGGTGCATCCGGCCAAAAAACCTGACGAAACAAACAACTCACACACACATGCATGGACAAAGATCCCCCGTGAAGCCTTTAACAGACTATAGGGGCAAGTACTGTTAGCGAGCCGCAGCTATGAAGGCCGGCACGGCACACGAGGAGGGAGGGTGGCCAACACCACGTCCGGTGCTGATATTTACTCACCGCACCAGGTACAATACTAATTTAGGGCTGAGACGACCTAGGGGAGGCTCGCGAACGGTCAAATATTGGTCGCATTGACCCGGCACACGCACGGACACACTTCGCAATGCATCCCTGGCCATCGTGATAAACCCACGGAGCAGTTTCCATGCACGCCACCCCCCCGCTAAAGGCCATGGCACAAATACCCCATTGCGTGACTCAACACGCGGTGGTGGCGGCACCCGGTGGTGGAGGGGGGGGGGGTCGCGGGGGACAGGGAGGGCGGGTGACAGACGTGACAACTTGTTCGTTCGTTATCACGCGGAACGAGCGCCATTACAACGCGGCTCGTGAGCGGTGGACACCGAACTACTTTCTTGAGCAGTGTAGTGATGCGGTACGCGGAATGATGCAGTGATGCGGTACTCTCGGTTATTTGTCCAGCCATTCCCTCCCCCCACCCTGTGTGTGTGCGTAGTACATTGTGTCTCGCCAAATGTTTATCGTTACATTATTCACAGGAAAACTGCTTCCGCTTAACACGATTTCCACTAACCGCGGCAGAAGTATAAAACAAAATGTACGCTTCTCGCGCTCCGCAGTATTACCCAGGGCGGCCCGCCAGGGTTCGAACCGCAGAACCTCCGCAAACGAGTAGGCGAACGCGGTTACCCCCGGGCGGCCGCGTCGCCGCCGCCAAAGGGTCGAGATGACGAGGTCGCGGGTCGACAGTTCGGGTGTGGAGGCGGGTGGAGGTGGGAACGATGTTTGGGCTAGCAGAGTGGAGAACGAAATCACAGACACTGGAGTTCTGTCCACATCTCCGACTCTGCAGTCACTGTGATTTGTTCCCACTGCCGCTGCCAATCCAACGCCGTCCGCCGTCCGCCCGACGGCAAAACGAGAGTTCACCCGATGCTCCGCATGCGTACGACGACGCCCGCGGCGCAAGCGGTAGTAGCGGCGATGCGGTTCAGCAGCCGAATGCCAAAGTCGGCGTCTACAAGAGGGCATTCGGGGTTTTTTAAGCTCCCAGAGAAAGAGAGGGAGGGGGAGTGATCTGGGATGGGGGGGAAGCGTGAAAATGCCCCCAACTGCATCCTACTACTCCGCTCTCGTGTACGAGGGCAGCAGTGTAAAGAATTATTTTACACGATTCGGCATCAGCAAAACCCTGGGCCGGTTTCGACCCACGGACAGTGTCTCCTCTCAGCAGGGTCAGGCCGTGTTTGCATCGATGCTGGCACGTTAGGGACGAGGGAGGAGCCTTCTCTCTGACGATGCGGGGCCTCGAGCCAGTAGAGGGCGGTGTGCGGCTGTCTTGTTGAGGCAGCTCTTCTTCCTCGCGTCTCCTGTCCAACCGACACGGGTTCTTTACCAACGTTCTGCGCAGGCCCCCGCTTCCGAAATCTTGAGGAGTAGCATCGCGGTTTGCTGCAGGGCATCTCAGGAGACGTGACCCACGTGGTTTGCTTCTCCTGACAGGCACACTGGTCGGCTGTGCTGCAGAAGCCCCCCCCCCCCACCCATGATTTCATGAGAGAGTTGCATCCGCAGAAGCTCCACTCAATATAAGTCTTTTTAAGCTCCGCCATGTATGTGAGCCATTTGGATTTGGAGCCAGATGCGAGCTCCTCACTGGGGGGGGCGATGGGTGTGTGGGTGGGTGGCGGTGGTGGCGATTCCTCACCGGCACCACTGTCGCTTAATTTTTCCCCCCATTCTTATTGCTCGACGGGGAAGTTTGGCAGATTCCCGGCGATGCGGTTACAGTGGTTACAGTGGTGTAAAGCTTTCGCGACTGCAGGGATTCATCTACTTGGCTCTTTCGGAAGCAGTTCACGACGGCGGTGGCGCTGGCTGACGGCCACGTAGCGGATGGCGGACGTCGCACTCGAGGACTTGCCGGTCCTGGTCACCTGCTACCCTCCCTTCTGATGTTAGGGGGGTTGGGGCGCGATGCCGCCAGACAGCGCAATACAGGCCGGGAACGGGGGGCAGCTCTCGGGCACTCCTCTTGTGATTCCGTGGCGAGAAGTGGAGAGACTCGGCTCGTCCGCGTCCCATTTGAAGGATGGCCTCGGACGGGTCGCCGCCAGCGACGAAGAAGAAAGAGAAGAGAACCAAACGCGGCGAGGAAAATGAAACAGAAACCGAAGCAGAGCGGCCACCGTCACACAGGGGAACGTGCCAGATGGTGTGAGGCGGTGGTGATGCTCTTGGTCGTGGTGGCAGTTGTGGTGAGAGTGACGGGAATGGTTGTGGTGGTGGTAGTATTGGTGGTGGTGAGTGGCAGGACTGGTGGTGGTGGTGAGAGTGGTGGTGGTGGCAGAACTGGTGGTGGTGGTGAGAGTGGTGAGAGTGGTGGTGGTGAGAGTGGTGGTGGTGAGAGTGGTGGTGAGAGTGGTGGTGAGAGTGGTGGTGAGAGTGGTGGTGGTGAGAGTGGTGGTGGTGGTGAGAGGGGTGAGAGTGGTGAGAGTGGTGGGACTGGTGGTGGTGGTGCGAGTGGTGGTGAGAGTGGTGAGAGTGGCAGGACTGGTGGTGGTGGTGAGAGTGGCGGGACTGGTGGTGGTGGTGGTGGTGAGAGTGGTGGTGGTGGCAGGACTGGTGGTGGTGGTGGTGAGAGTGGTGGCGGTGGTGGTGGTGAGAGTGGCGGGACTGGTGGTGGTGTTGGTGGTGTTGGTGGTGCCGGTGCCGGGCAGTGGTTGTTGCTGGAGAGGAAGCTGCTTGTGCCTGGTTCCGGCAACAAAATCACTGATGCTGGAGTCTCAGGTGCCACTCGGCAGCACCAGGATGTTGTTGCCGGAACTCAACGGGACGCTCTCCAACAGCCACGCGGTCCACGGGGCTGAACCGCGCGCTCCCAACAACGCTCACGAGACGGGCGGGGACGGAGGACGGGGGACAGCACACGGAGTGAGCAGATTGAGCAGAGGCACAGGAAAGGATGGCGATGCAGGGAAGTGCCGGAACACAGGGACACACGGGTACGAGCAGAGTCGCACGCTCCCAGCTGAAACACGCAGACACAACGGGACAGCGCGGAGACGCAGGAGGCACGCGCGGCAAGTGGCGACACGGACACGCGGAGTGGAGACACAGGGGGCAAGACGCGGAGAAGAGCGGGGAGACGGAGAGACGGAGAGACGGGGGGCGGCCCTGGCCGGTTGACCGGTCGAGCGATTCTCGACTGCGAGGGAGCGACCGACGGACCGAGCGATCGAGCTGCGGGGAATTGTCGAGCGACCGACGGACCGAGCGTCCCACCTGTGCGTGTAGCCGTGGCGGTGCATGTGCGTGACCCCGGCCGACACCTCGAAGGCCATGCGCAGGAGCTGCTCCACGTCCACCACGCTGCCCGTCACCCCCGCCAGCCCGCGCAGGTACGCCTTCACGTCCCCCTGTTAGGAGGGCACGGGGGAGGGGGGGGGCAGAGGTTACGGCGCAGAGGTCAGAGGCCACGGAAAAGTGGCATCTGCTTCACGGCAGACATTGCTGAAGACCCCACGGCGTTATTCGGAGGCGGCGTCACAGGCCAAGTTTGCCGATTTTGAAAATAAGAATTCCTCGCAAGCTATTTGACTGCGATAACCAGTGGGGCACATCGCCTCATCAGGGCAGACGAACGCCCGTCGCCAAGCAGCTGCTGCGTGCACCTTGTGCCACACAGCGACACTGTCCCCCTCGGCTAAAAATAAAACACGCTCCGATTAATCACGCCACGGGCGCAACGTTGACGTGTTAATTTCAGCAAGGAAATGTCAAAGGAGTATTTTTCTTCAGCTGAATAATTAGTTTTTATTATCCAAAACTCCCCACGCGACCACGGGGAGAGAGGCAGGCAAACTCCAAATATACAGCAGCGGGCGTCAGGGTCGGGATCGAACCCACGGCCTCTCCTGCACACCAGGCGAGGGAGTTAACATCTCCTAGCCACCGTGGTGATGATGATGATGAGAGAGAGGCACGCAGACTTCAAATATAAAACAGCAGGCGTCAGGGTCGGGATCGAACCCACAACCTCCTGCACACCAGGCGAGGTAGTTAACATCTCCTAGCCGCCATGGCGCCCTTGCCCTCCCAAGTCTCCCATCTGTTGATCTTCCCCCCGCACATTCGATTAGCGCGGTCGGCTACGGTGCGAAATAAATTCAACAAACATACAAGACACTTTTTTTTTTAAGTGGAGCACTACTTCTAGTGAGATGTTTGGCCCAAGTCCCTTTCAAAACTAACGAGTGATTGTGTGTCACGTGCGAGGATACAGGAGAAGGTATGCACGCTCTTCTCTCGCCGTGCTAGAGGATCACCTCCACCACTGTCGCTATGAACACTGCAGCCGTGCTCGTGAAGTCCGACTCCGTTAGATTAGTGTTTTGAATCGTGTTTATTTATTGCTTATCTTGTTTGCAGTCAGTTCTGGTGTGGGTTTCCTGTATATAATTTGTTGTTTTTGCTCTTGTTAGTTTGCACATTCCCACCCTGCGATGTCCGGTAACTGCCACCACTTCTGGCGGCCTTGGGCTGTGTTCTGCGAGTCTCTGTGTAACTCTATGGATCTCTATGTTACTCTATGAGTCTCTGTGTAACTCTATGGATCTCTATGCTACTCTATGAGTCTCTGTGTAACTCTATGGATCTCTGTGTAACTCTATAGATCTCTATGTTACTCTATGAGTCTCTGTGTAACTCTACGGATCTCTATGCTACTCTATGAGTCTCTGTGTAACTCTATGGATCTCTATGCTACGCGTCCCCACCGACCCCGCCCCCCCCCCAACGTAAAAACCTGGGGTAGTTACTGCACAACTACCAACCCTTTTGGATTTCTCTGGCTGCTTGTAGCTGGGCAAGGCCTTTGCTCATAATCCCGATGATCAGAATCTTCATCTCAGGCTGGAGGAATCCGATGAGCTGCGAAGCTCTCCCCGTCTCGGAGGCTTCTTGCGCAGGCGACGTGGACCGACTACCCCAACACAAACGATGGGGACCCCCCTTAACATTCCTGCCTCTCAGCGTGCGGCATTCGCTGCTGCCACCGCCACCGCTGCCACCGCCGCTGCTGCCACCGCCGCCGCTGCCACCGCCACCGCTGCCACCGCCGCCGCTGCCACCGCCGCCGCCGCTCCTCCCGAATAACGCAACGATGGCATCGGGGCGGCCACGACAATGGCTCCCGAAACATTCCTTTATGGCCGTTTCGTGGGATTCGTCAGTCAAGCGGGCCGAGGTGGCGTCGTCAAACGCGCTCGGATTTTTTTGTTTTTAATGTATATGTAAAAATAAAAAAACTTATATCGTAGTAAAAATAGACACACACGCAAGTGCGTACTGCACTTTGCATCCGATGAAGACAAAAAAACCTTTCTGTACAAAAACAACAGCTGCGGGCGTTGATGTTTTTGTGTGTCTTAGCATCCTGCATTTAAAAGTACAATTATGGTCATTAATGGCGATGACGGCTGAACAGCACGTGCATCGCACGGCTATTGGACGCAAGGATTATCCCCGTCGCCATCGTATATTATAATTTATTATCCTAATTCAAGCGTCTCAGAGAGTCTAAGCGTTCAAACGACCACGGGCCGGGCGCTCATCTCAGTTTGGCGGCGGTGGAAATTCCACGTTCCCGACTAACGATCACTGTTGACCGGCCCACAGAGTCAGGATGATTGATGATGATGATGATGATCATCATGACCATGATGGTTTCTCCTTTTTTCTGGCAACAAAATAGCTGTGTTAAGATGTTAAAACACCAAACTGAAACCTTTTGCAAGGAATCGTGTCTGCACGAAATCATTGTCTTTGCGCTGTTCGACTTTTGGCGTCCTCTGGTCTAACACCGGTTGAGACTCGGCTCTAAAGAAAGCTGTCTCTGGTGTGGACCAATCAGTTTCAAAGACAATGCACATAATGTCAGAGCATGTTTTTGTTTGTATTTTCACCACAACTATCTGTGGTTAATGCAGTAACATGATTCCTTGCAAAAGGTTTCAGTTTGCTGTTTTAACATCTTAACACAACTGTTTTGTTGCCAGAAAAAAAGGGGAAAACCTATTCTTATATTGTGACACTGCCAAAGGAGGTCCCATGATGTACATGATGGTCTAAGTTGACCAGGAATCAAATTTACAACCTTTCTCCGATCGTGAGGCGAATGCTCCTCGCCACGGTGACCCGATCCTAACTAATGCCATCTTCTGCATGGAATTTGGCAAAACCGGGGATAGCGTCTTGCTGTTTTCTCCGCGAACATAAAGCGTTACTTTGTTTCCCCCACTATTTTAAAGCAAACGGCAGAGACGAATCTTACAAACGATAGCGGTAAGAATGCCACTTTGTGTGTGTGCGTGTGTACCCGCACGTGCGAGTGTCTTTGTGTGTGTATGTGTGTGTGCGTGTGTCTTTGTCAACGAGCAGAGCGCCGGGTGGCTAAAGCACGGCAAGTTGGCACAGTAGGGGGCACAGGTGGTGCATCAGCCAGTCATCTCGGTCATCTCAGTCAGTCGACCCGTGGCACCTGCTGGGTCTGCCCCGTGACCTCCTGCCAGCGGGCGTTCGACACTTCACGTGGCCTCAAGGTGCACATGGCCTGGCACAAGCGTCGTGGTGATGTCACCGCCACTTAGTGGCGAATGGCGGTTGTTGTCTTGAGAATCACTTGTCGACGACCCCGCAGAGTGGGGAGTGGTAAGGGTTAGCAATAAGCACGCTGCTCTATGAACCCGGCCACCCGGGTTCGATTCCCGGCAACCAGGTTCGATCCCGCGGGTCGACACCAGTGACGATTAACTGAACCGGTTCTGGGCCTCCCCTAGGTCGACTCAGCCTCAAATGAGTACCTGGTGCGGTGTGTAAACATCGCCACATAGGCGACCTGGGGGGGGGGCAAGTTGCTCGCCACACGCACCCCCTCGTGTGCCTCAATGTCAGCCTTTAATAGGTGCTCGCAAACAGCACTTGCCCCAAACAGTCTGTTGAGGCTATAAGGTGATCTTTGTCTTTTGCGTAACTTTACACCCGGCACAAGTTTGGGGTGCGCCTTACTCAAAGGATCGTCTTATAATATTAATAATTCTGACTATAAAGCATGAAAGTGCTGTCAAGCGAGCAAAAACACTCCACTGCGATAAGCCGACTGGAGGGATAAATGGCGGCTCTCTGGGCCTGCGATACGTTTGCCTTGGCCAGCGAGCAGCGAGCGGGTTTAATTTTAGACGAATTTCAGTCGCGAGCGAGAGAGAGAGAGAGCGATATGTATATACTTATTTTCTTAACACTGCGATTTTAGACGTAGGATTATTGAATAACAACGCGGAATGCCTCTGCGGCGGCGGCCGTGTATACAGAGCTGATGCAACATCCTGTTTACCGGGGCGCGCTACCGCAGGGTCACCGAACCGCGAGTGCGGCGGGGGTGGGGCCAGACGCAAAGCGCCACGCACGGTCTCACAAAGGGACCCTTGGTTTCCAAAAAATCTTAATATATTTCGCATTTTAATCGCTAATTTTACCGCTAACTTTCATCCCGATCGTGCTAATCGGCGTCGCGGCGTCTCGAGCCGAAGAGGAATGCCTTCGGGAAATCTCCCCGCGGAATCGGATATCGGAGAACTGCTTCCGAGGTCACTTCGAATGACCTCCGAGGTCCACAGACTGAGGGGGCAGCACTTTTCCAAACCGAGCTCTGCCGCTGAAGAGAAATGCTCGCCAAGCGACGGTCAAGCCGATATTGTTCTCACTCTTGACTGAAGCATCTCAACGGGAGCTGCGATGGCTCTCCTCGCGTCGGGTCCGGGCTGTGCCCGCCGACCCTCTGCACTGCAGGAGCCCGGCTTAAACACAGCCCGGCTTAAACACAGCCCGGCTTAAGCACAGCCCGGCTTAAGCACAGCCCGGCTTAAACACAGCCCGGCTTAAACACAGCCCGGCTTAAACACAGCCCGGCTTAAGCACAGCCCGGCTTAAACACAGCCCGGCTTAAACACAGCCCGGCTTAAACACAGCCCGGCTTAAGCACAGCCCGGCTTAAACACAGCCCGGCTTAAACACAGCCCGGCCGACACTCCGAGCCGTGCCCACGAACTCGCTGGCGCCAGCGTGCGCGCACGCACGTCGAACTTCTTTCGCGCCGTACGTAGCCAACCGTGCTAATCGGAGGTGCGGCCAGCTCGGCGCTCAGCCCTTTGAGCAGTGCCGGCCACCACACGAGAGGCCTCGATAATGGGGAAGGGGGGGGGGTGGACCTCGGGGTCTCACGATGGGGGCCTGGTCACCCAAAGTGGCCTTGAAACGCAGCGCGGCCCGGCGCACGGCCGGGCCGCTGACCGACCCGCCGCGACACGTCACCCGTCAGGTCTCCGGGGTCGACGAGCAAGGGTCGACCCTAGAGAGCGCTCGGGTGGGCGACCCACCCATGCGCACGCCCGGGTGTCGTAGGCGGCCCCGGCGCTGCGCTGCGGGTCAGCGGAGGGCACCGGTGGCTAAATCCCACGCCGTGCTGTAACCGAAGTTACGTCACGTGACTCTGTGGTACTCGGAGATAAGTGGGACGCATTCATGAACCCGTTTTAACCGGCGTGGTGAGGTATGGTCAAATGAGTCCCCCCCACACGGCCTGTGGGGGGATGGGTTCTCATCCAGCAGCGGATAAACAGAAGGGCTTTAAGTGTACGTACGGGAAAGGGTAACCAGCAAAACGTGGCAGGAAGGCGTTGTGGATGTAATCAGGAAGAGGAGGCTGTGATGGGCCTGACGTGTGGGGTGGAAGAGGACACGCGAAGCAACTTGGAGGTTCTGCATAGAACTTACAATAACCCAATTCTTCATTTTAAATTATTATCATGCGACGTGTAAATTGTATCATCGCTGCAAAGCGCCGTAGTAAAAAGCGCCTGAGTCTAGGCGCTATATAAATCTCATTAACATAATAAAATGGCTCTGCTTGTTAGTTTGGTTTCGCTGACCAGCAGAAGGAAGCAGATTGGGAGGTGCGGCTGCGCCTTTTGTGTTTATTTTGAACCGCAAGTCAACGAGTCTCCCTGCTTAAACGAGCCTTGAACGGTGCACGCATGCATTGGTAGCCTTGAGCCAGCAGTGGGGCATTCCACATTCCCATGGCAGGGGCAAGCCTGTCCAAACAACGACCGCTCTGGAATTGCCGGGGTGATTACGGCACATCGTCCACAGATTGGACAAAAAAAAAAAGTCAAGTCAAAGGCGATAATGCCCCGGATGGAATGCAGTCTCATAGAGCGCGTGGGTGCGGGGGGGGGGGTGCAAGTGCCGTTAGCGAGCACCTGTTGTACTGCGTTGCCGCTAACTCAAGGGAGCTTCGTCGAGTCCCGAGACTCCGTCTTCAGGAGGGTTGCCGCGTCGGTGACGCTCGGCCAATCCCATCTCACGAGTCGTTTGCCTTCGCGTGGAAAGGAAACCGGAGAGCCTGGAGAGACTGCCCCCCCCCCACCCCCCAACCGCATGCGCGAAGGAGCCAACTGACTGTTCGAAGAGCCGCACAGATGGATTCAAAGTCCATCGCACTGTCCCATCTGCTTGGCCGCGTCGCACGCACAACAGCGCGGCGGCGTTGTGCGTGTCGCCCCGACCGCCTGAGTTCACGGTCAGCTCAAGAGGAGCAGCAAGAGGAGTGGGAGGAGGAGAGATGACGACGCTGGATGCGTAGGAGGCTTGTGAGGATGATATTTTTGAACGCGGTGTCTGATGTGGTGAAACGTGTTGCGAAGGAGGGGAGGGGGGGGGGCATTTTTTGCCCCCCCCCCCCCCAGCTGCCTCGAGGGATAACGTCAGACACCTAATTAGGTCGATGAAAAACCGGCCTGGAAGTTCACTGGCTCTTTCTCACCGGAGGGGCCACCCAGAATAGCATAGCCCAACACACGACATACACACGTGCATACTCATCCACACAGACACGTGGATACTCATACACACAGACACAGATACTCATACACACACACGTGTGTACTCATCCACACAGACACGTGGATACTCATACACACACACACAGATACTCATACACACACACGTGTGTACTCATCCACACAGACACGTGGATACTCATACACACACACACAGATACTAATACACACACACACAGATACTCATACACACAGACACGTGGATACTCATACACACAGACACGTGGATACTCATACACACACACAGATACTCATACACACACACAGATACTCATACATACACACACACACACACAGATACTCATACACACACACACAGATACTCATACACACAGACACGTGGATACTCATACACACACACAGATACTCATACACACACACGTGCGTACTCATCCACACACACGTGCGTACTCATCCACACACACACAGATACTCATACACACACACACACAGATACTCATACACACAGACACGTGGATACTCATACACACATACACACAGATACTCATACACATACACAGATACTCAAACACACACACAGATACTCATACACACAGACACGTGGATACTCATATATACACACACACACAGATACTCAAACATACATATACACATAGATACTCACACATAGACAAAGATCCCCCATATAGCCTCTAACAGACTGTGAGGGCAAGTGCTGTTAGCGAGCACCTATGAAACCCGGCACGGCACACGAGGGCGTGGGTGGCCAGCACCACGACCGGCGGCTGCCTTTGTCTTGCTTGTGGCGAAGTTTACACACCGCACCAGGTACTCATTTGACGCTGAGTCGACCTGGGGAAGGCTCAGGACCGGTTCAGATAATAGTCACTGGTGTTTGCCGTGAGCGGGAATCGAACTCGGGTGGCCGGGTTCGTAGTTCAGCATGCTAACCACACACAGATACGAATACACACATAGATACGCATACACGCACACACAGATACTCATACACACATACTCATACACACACAGATACTCATACACACACACACAGATACACATACACACACAGATACTCATACACACATAGATACGCATACACGCGCACATAGATACTCATACACACATAGATACACATACACACATAAATACTCATACACACACACACAGATACTCATACATACACAGATACTCATATACACACAGATACTCATACACACATAGATACGCATACACGCACACACAGATACTCATACACACACACACAGATACTCATACACACACACACAGATACTCATACACACACAGATACTCATACACACATAGATAGGCATACACGCGCACATAGATACTCATACACACATAGATACACATACACACAAATACTCATACACGCACACACAGATACTCATACACACACAGATACTCATATACACACAGATACTCATACACACATAGATACGCATACACGCGCACATAGATACTCATACAACAACAGCAATCGCCATTCGCCACTAAGTGGCGATGACGTCACCATGGCACCTGTGCCAGGCCACGTGCACTTTGACGCCATACACAGACACACAGGATACGCACACACACGCACAGAAACATACACACGCGCATACAGACACACAAACGTACACACGCCGTTGTGTGTACTCGGGTCGACACTTGAGGGTCCCTCCCTGGTCCGGCCACACCATCCCTACATGGAGGTGGGGCTGCCCTCCCCGGGGGTCATGGATCAGAAACGTGTGTGGGTGCGTGCGTGCGTCTGACGATAGCAGTAAATCCATACACACACACACAAACATAGACAAGCTATATACGCGCGGACACGTAGAGACCCACACGCATACACACACAGTCGCCGACATACACACAAACATAGGCATGCATATGCACACAAACATAGGCATGCATATGCACACAAACAAAGACACCCACACACACACTAACATAGACACGCATACTTACACACCCACGCATATATTGTACGCGCACAATCATAGACAAAAATAAAACAAAGACTCCCTGTATAGCCTTAAAACGCTTTTGGGGCACGTGCTGTTAGCGAGCACCTATGAAGGCCGGCACGGCACACGGGGGAGTGGGTGGCCAACACCACGCCCGGCCGCCTTTGTCTCCCCAGTGCTGATGTTTTCTTTCACATAGACCGCACCAGGTACTCAATTGAGGATGAGTCGACCAAGGGGAGGCCCAGGACTGGTTCAAATAATCGCCACTGATGTTGGCCGTGAGCGGGAATCGAACTCGGTTCATAGCGCGGTACACCAACCACTACACTACCACCCCCCACATACATAAACAGAGACACACGCACACCCACGAACTCACTGCCCACACATGGCCACTATGAGAGATTTGAGGACAGGTATTTGTAACTCTGGAGCTAAACGATGTCAGTAACAACGTTAGAGAAGCCCCACGGTGCGACAGATGTCCAGTGAGGGTTTGGCCACACCATTCATAGTCCGATGGCACGTTCACACAGTGTACCCAAAAAACCTGGGGGTAGTGGTCACTTTCACGTGCACGTTCACACAGTGTACCCAAAAAACCTGGGGGTAGTGGCCACTGCCATGTGCATGTTCACACAGTGTACCCCAAAAACCTGGGGGTAGTGGCCACTTCCACGTGCACGTTCACACAGTGTACCCCAAAAACCCTGGGGGTAGTGGTCACTCCCATGCGCACGTTCACACAGTGTACCCCAAAAACCTGGGCGTAGTCGTCACTTTCACGTGCACGTTCACACAGTGTACCACAAAAACGGGATCGTAATCACTCTCGCCAACATATTCACACAGTGTACCGCAAGAATTGGGGATAGCCACTCCCACCTGCACATTCACACAGTGTACCCAACCAACTGGGGGTAGCCACTCCCATGAACACATTCACACAGTGCACCGAAAAAGCCTCGGAAGTAGCTCCACCCACAAGTATAGTGTGAAAGTATCCCCAAAAACGTGGCTACTGCATACACTCTACAAGGAGTTTTGCAAAATGCACTCAGGAATGTAAAGACACTCTCACAGTACTATACAGTGCATACAAAACGCACGTGCATGGGTTCGCATGCGTGTGCACGTGGACGTGTGTGCGTGTCTTGTCTGGGGAGCGGTAGTGTAGCGGTTAGCGCGCTGCGCGATGAACCCAGCAACCCGAGTTCGATTCCCGCTCACGGCCAACACCGGTGACGATTATCTGAACCGGTCCTGGGCCTCCCCAAGGTCGACTCGGCTCCAAATGAGTACCTTGGCGCGATGTGTAGTAAACATCGCCACTGGGGAGACAAAGGCGGCCGGGCGTGGTGCTGGCCACCCGCTCCCTCGTGTGCCATGCCGGCCTTCGTAGGTGCTCGCTAACAGCACTTGCCCCAACAGTCTGTGACACGGGATCTTTGTCTTTGTGCTGCGTGTGTTGTCTCACCAGCGAGCAGAGCTCCATGACCAGCAAGTACGGCGAGGACTCCGTGCACTGTCCCAAGCACTGCATGATGTTCGGGTGCTGTAGAAGCCTGGGAGGGAAACAGACACACACAGAGAGACACACACACACAGAGTCACACACACACACAGAGTCACACACACACACAGAGTCACACACACACACACAGTCACACACACACACAGGCACAGATAGAGACAGCGAAGCAGAGGGAGTTAAGAGCCGCACAGACGGAGAGAGAGATACAAGCACAGACAGAGAGAGGCACTCAATTATTGATATTTACTGTTACGTTTACACCGATTAGGGTCCCATTAGCGCTGCAGATTGACCCCCCGGATGGATGTGAAATATCTGTGGTCAGAGGGTCTAACTTCGTTTAGTTCTCTGCAGCGTTGTTCATGCAAACTGCATCTCCACAATCCTTCGGGAACCACACGAAGCTACGAGGCAGCAGCGAGGCGGTGAACAGTCCTCTGCACGTGTATATATATGTAGATGTGAATATGTTTACATCCAATTAACGAGTGCTTATGCGTGTGGGAGCACCCGCAGAAAACCCCCACTTGCGTGCGAGGGGGCAACACTCTATCCCATCATAGGGAAGTGACAGGGGTGATGTCAGTCCACGCTCTTTACTGTGACCGCCTTCTTATTCTTATAATTCTTCTGGCGAAATGGAACCCTTTTCCATTATTCCCAGACGACTGCAAGTTGCAGGGTGGGTGGGTGGTGGGGTCCCGTTCGCACCGCTGAATCTGGGAGCGCGCGAGCGATTCGGCGTTAATTTGATTTTGAGAGGCGTCGTAACGGCGTTGCTTTTAAAGACAACTGTACTCGCCGCCGCAGAGAACCGCACTCTACGTTAGCTGCCGCCACCCCCCCAACCCTCGCGTGGCCTTGTGGGAGCATCGGTCGCGATGAAGTTATTCTACCATTGGTACCTCATTTGCCAGTAAAAAATATAATTGTTTTTTTACCCTTTTATCTGGCAACAAAACTGACACCTTTTTTACGAGGAGTCATGTTTGCATAGACCACAATACCTGCAGTCGTAATGCAAACAAAAAACATAACAGTGCATACATTATCAGAGTTATGTTTTTTGTTTGCATTACGACTGCAGGTATTGTGGTCTATGCAAACATGACTCCTCGTAAAAAAAAGGTGTCAGTTTTGTTGCCAGATAAAAAGGTACAAAAAACAATTATCCAAGTTATTCTATTTTAGTTTTTTTCCTTCCGGCTCCGCACACGCACGTCATCCCGAACGGCATCGGAGAGAGAAGAACAACTGATGGCGTACGCGTGCGTCATCGGAACGGGGATAGGCATTACGGGAGTTGCGCAACCATTAGCGGCGGTGATCCGTCAACCCTCGCCGCCTCCGCCCCGTGCCGGATTGGACGCCGCGCGCAGCAGAGCCGCCCACCCGCACGCCCTCCTTCCACGACTGCTCCATTTTTCTGAATTAAGATCAAAGGCAAATGTATTACACTCGAACAATGGGGGGCTCTGTACAGCGTTTGGTGGCTGTGCCCAGCCCATGTGTTTGTTTCCGACCCCCCCCCCCCGCCCTGCCCCCATCCCCCACCTCCTCCCCCAGGTCTCCCTTTGAAAACAGAGCCCTTTTAATCGGGGAGGCTGAACCACGATGCTACGTGCTTTTCCCGTGAAATAGATATACGTCGGTCCGTCTGTCCGTGAGTCTGTCCGTCCGTGTGTGTCTATCCATCAGACACCTTTCACGTTGACTTTCGCGTGGCGAGATGTTAGCTACCTCGCCTCGTGTACACAATGCCATGGGTTCGATCCCGACCCCTGTTGTGTATTTGAAGTTTGCAGGTCTCTCTCTTTCCCTGTGGTCGCGTTGGATTTTTCTCCACGTCCTCCGGGTTTTCCCTCCAAGTGTAGAATCATCATCGACGTGAATTTTGAGTATTTGGCTGCTATAAATGTCCCCACGATGAGCCACTTCATGTGTGGCCAGGTCCCTTCTGAAGAAGAACTACGTAGCTCAGTGGGCCTTACCTGGTAAAATAAAACAAAAGCTTAGTTTGCAGTTTTATAGCCTACCTTACGATGCGTGATTGAGGTGTGGGTTAATCGCTACATTTTGGTCGTGAGAATCGCCAAGTCGAGCTCTAAACGGCAGCAATTGGTGCGTCGTCAAATTACGCTCATATACCGCGTCAGGCGGTGGAGGGTCTCGGCAACACAACCGCGGCCCGGATCATCACTCCTCTGTGGAATAACCCAGAACTCAACTGTGAGAGTCACTCCTCACGCTTTTCGCCAAAAATTGTGTGAGACTAGGCTCTAAGGAAAGCTGTCTCGGGTGTGGACCAATCAACTTCAAGGACAGTGCATACATTATCAGAGTTATATTCTTGGTTCTTTCGGTAAAGTCACGTAGAAGGGAAGTAATAAAATAATAAAAATAAAACACAATAAAATAATTCTCACGACGTTTCGGCCACAACGCAAGCAGCCATCCTCAGGTGAAAACCAGGTCTGTCGAGGCGACAGAGTCTGAATGAAACAGCACACGAGCTTGGAGCATATATATAAGCTGGGCGCCTTGACAAAGGAATTTGCATATCAAGAGGAATTTAGCATATTTATGGGAAATCCAGGAATGTGATTAGTACTACATATGCATGTGCATTATGCAGGATTAACAGCATCAAAGGGAGAGGATATGGGAAGTTCAAGTTCAAGTTCATTTATTAGGTGTAGCCCTGTGAGCCATTCAGCTCTTGAATCGGGTGCAACCGCAACAAACAAAAAACAAAAACATGAACAAAAAAAACATCTTAAAGTGAATATGTGACTAAGTGCAAACAGAAAATCCAAGAAAAGACAGCAAAAATATTGCTGAAAAAACACCGTACACCAACGCTGTGTGCAAAAATCCCAGTGGGATGCAAGTCAAACAACAACCACAAGACAACTTAGATTAAGGCCATCAGTCTAACTCTGTACTACAACAACACAACAATGCAGGTATGTGAATGTTTTTGTTTGCATTCTGACTGCAGGTATTGTGGTCTATGCAAACATGACTCCTTGTAAAATAGGTGTCAGTTTTGTTGCCAGATAAAAGGGTAAAAAAACAATTATCACATTTCTTCCATGTTACCAGGTAAGGCCCACTAGGCTACATAGCTCTTTTACAGAAGCGACCTGGCCACAAATGACAGCTCAATTAAGTGGCTAATCGCGTGGAAATGTATCGCAGCCAAATACTTTAAATGCATGTACAGTAACTAAATAAAGCCAAAGCTTCCTGTAAATCACGTGACCTCTGTGTGGCTACGCCCACAATGCACCCCTCCCCCCGTCGCCGCCCACTCAGAAAACAGACTCTGTGCAGTAGCAGCAGTAGCAGCAGCAGTAGCAGCAGCAGTAGCAGCTGTAGCAGCAGTAGCAGCAGCAGCAGTAGCAGCAGTAGCAGCAGCAGTAGTAGCAGCAGCAGTAGCAGCAGCAGTAGCAGCAGCAGCAGCAGCAGCGTGGAGGCCCTGATAGGAGCCTCTTCCTCCCGATCCTCATCTCTCCAGACTCTCTGCTCACATCTCTCCATCCCTTTGCCTCCCATTTCCCCTGATTTCCCATTCTTTCTCTTTTTCTATTCCCTTTTCCCCGTTCACTTCATTTCCCCCATGCATCACAATCCTTGACTCTGCTCCCCTTTCCCGTGGTGTGCAGCCACGGGTAAACGGTTGGCAATTCTTAGCAATTTTGGGTGACTTCGCCGATGAAATATTTACAAAAAAAGCAATTAAATAAGATGTATATATACACATATATATACACACATATAGAGATACATTGCGCTACGTACGAGGGTAATTGGTGGACGGGTGCCTAACGCACGAATCTCTTTGCACGGTTAAATTCCCAAACGAGGCTCATTTAACAAACGGGATTGATTGGGCAGCTTGTTATTGCGATGAGCTCTTACCCCGTTGAATTTGTGCGCACTGGGTGAGCAACTGAGCGAGTTGCTAACATCACGAGTGGGTGGGAGCCTGGGATACGAACCCAGGTTCTCAGCAGGGCTGGGTCCGTGTCTCCAGAAACGAGCTGGTAAAAAGCCCCCGGGTTGGGCAGTGGCAATACCACGTTCCTATGACAGGGGCCGCCACTGTATCCACTAAACAGTCACAGATGATGTTCCACCAAGTAGCAGGAACGCTATCCACCCCCCGAGGGATGAGGTCAGGATGGACACCCTGACCGTGAGCTAAACGCCATGACCTTGCGATCGTGGGTGGAGGCGCCCCGACCACGGCACCACTTGGCCGGACGAGGCTGAGCCAAGCGGCGCAAATGCCGGGGACAAAGAGTTCCAAAACTTTTAGAGAAGAATTAAGAAATGTTGTTATCGCGCTCACTCGGTGGCCCCGCAGACTCAGCGGGGCACTCGCGGTAATCTCTCTCCCATCACTCCGCCTCCCCCCATCACCGCCTCCCCCCCATCACCGCCTCCCCCCATCACCCCCTCCCACTCCTCACCCCCTCCCCCCCATCACCGCCTCCCCCCCATCACCGCCTCCCCCCCATCACCGCCTCCCCCCCATCACCGCCTCCCCCCATCACCGCCTCCCCCCATCACCGCCTCCCCCATCACCGCCTCCCCCCATCACCCGCCTCCCCCCCATCACCCGCCTCTCCCCCATCACCGCTTCTCCCCCATCACCGCCACTCCCTCATCACCCCCTCCCCCCATCACCCCCTCCCCCCATCACCGCCTCCCCCCCATCACCCCCTCCCCCCATCACCCCCTCCCCCCCATCACCGCCTCCCCCCATCACCCCCTCCCCCCCATCACCGCCATCCCCCCCATCATCGCCTCCCTCCCATCACCCGCCTCCCCCCTATCACCCCTCCCCCCCATCACCACCCTCCCCCATCACCCCACCCATCCCGTCCTCCCCCAGCACCGCCTCCCCCCCATCACCCCCGCCTCCCCCCATCACCCCCTCCCCCCAGTCCACCCCCTCCCCCCCATCACCCCCCCTCCTCCCTCCCCCCATCACCCCATCCCCCCCATCACCCCCTCCCCCCA